AGCGAGCCGCCTGAGACGGGCATTCGAGTCTTGGTGTGGCACTGGAGAAGGCAAATGTTGCAAGACAGGCGCTTAAGCCTCTGATGCCTCCACTTGCTTCTCCATGAAGTCGGGTTTATGATCCTGCTCGACTTGTCCCTTGGAGCTGCGAGGTGCAGCGAGGCGCCACACGGGAGAGTGTTTGGGGAACCTCTGGAGCTGCTCCCCCACTCAGAACTGCCCCGTCACAACTGTATCCACTGCAGGGGACAGAGAGGACCCCCGTTCACAGGGGTCACAGGGCCGGCGCCGTGGGGTAGCAGGTGAAGCTGCCATCTGCAGTGCCAGCATCCCATATGGGCACCAGTTCAAGTCCCGGCTGCTCCACTTCTGATCCAGCTCCCTGCTGATGGCCTGGGAAAGCAGTGAAAGGTGGCTCAAGTAGTGGGTCACTGCACTTACGTGGGAGACCCGGATGGAATTCTACGGTTCCTGGCTTCAGCCAGGCTGTTATAACCATTTGGGGAGTGAACCAGCGGATGGGGGATATCTCTCTGTCCCCTGACCCCCACCCCACCTGCAACTCTGCCTTTCAAATAAATAAAATAAAATAAAAAAATAGATCTTAGAAAAAAGAGAGAGATGGGTTGCACAGGGAGGGACACCACCAGGGAGTTTTGGGGGGCACTGCTCTGGACCCTTCGGGCAGCAGGAGCAAAGTCCCTGTCCTCACTCAGCTTAGGATCTGGTGGATGGAGGCAGTACCCCCAAAATGGGGAGCTGTGGGGAGGGGGTTCCTAGGCATGAAATGAAACAGGGATAGGAACACCGGTCAGGGGGTCACCAAGGAAGGCTTCTCTGAGGAGGGGGCACCTGAAGGCAGGGCCTGAGTGACAAGGACAGCCATGCAAAGACCTGGAGCGCCAAGTGTTCTGGGACAAGGGGACAGAGAGCTCAAACGCCCCAGACAGGCGCAAACTGCACAAGGAGGGCAAACAGGGCAGGGCGCCGGGAGCAGCGGGGCTGGGGGAGAGGCGTGCAGGGGGGCAGGGCTGCTGTTGGGCAAACACGCTCTCAGCTGGGTCTGAAGCTTTGGGTCCTTTAGGTCGTGGCCGGGGGCTTGCCAAGGCTTCATCCGTGCCCAGCACAGGGTTTGCAGCCCACCACTAGACAGCGACGTGCAGAGACAGCAGGCTTGCCCCAGGCCACCTGCTGCTCCCTTCTGCAACACCAGGTCTTGGGCCCCAGCCTCTGTGCCCTAGCCAAGGCTCTAGGCATGGGTGGGGGTGCTCGGAAGGGGGTTTACAAGGCTACGGGGCAGGAAGGAGGGCCCAGAACGGACCCTCCCCATATCTCAGGGCTTTCTGCTGCAACAGTGGGCTCCCAAAGGGAAGTGTGTCGCCCAGGCCGGGCCCAACCCTCAGCGCTCAGCTGCCAGGGGCAGGGAGGAGGAGGGGTCAGTTCCAGGAGCCCAGCCAGCCAGGAGCAACCTGAGCCAGCAGGAAACTGGCCCCCCGCCAGGCCAGGCATGACCCAGCACCTGGAGCCTTTGTTCCCTGTGTTGGCCTTGTAGACTTTCCCAGGCACCTGCACTGGGCCCCGGGAGCACCTGGGCCGGGAAGGGGCTCCCACGGGATCTGGTTCTCCTGTCGCAGGGAGTGGCCAACTCGTGATCCTGAGTGAGGCCCCGTGCTGTCATTACAATAGCGTCCACTTACAGATCTGCTGCTGCCGCCAGGGGTGTCATTTCACTTAGCCCTGGGGACCAGCCCGGGAGGCACGTACCACTGTGGTCCCTGTGTCACAGATTACGAAACAGACAGACATGCAGATTTAGGAGAAAACCCCTCCCCCACAGCCGCAGAGAGAAGCCGTGAAGCCCAGGGCCTCCTGGGTTCCGGGGTCCGCAATCCCAGCCTGCTTGCCTCTGTGCCGTGGGACGTCAGCTTTCCCCAAGCCTGCCCTAAGGGGACCCATGGAGAGCCGCAGGCAACACAGAGATTTCATCTGTATTTATTTGCATTTTATTTGAAAAGCAGAGATCTTCCATCGGCTGGCTGGCTCCCTGAATGCCTGCCAGTCAATAGCCAGGGCTAGACCAGGCCAAAGCCCAGAGCCCGGAACTCCACCTGAGTCTCATATGGTCTCCCATATGAACGCCGGTTCATGTCCTGGCTGTTCCACTTCCAAACCAGCTCTCTGCTGTGGCCTGGGAAAGCAGTAGAAGATGGCCCAAGTCCTTGGGCCCCTGCACCCACATGGGAGATCCCGAAGAAGCACCTGGCTCCTGGCTTTGGATCAGCCCAGCTCTGGCCTTTGCAGCCAATTAGGGAGTGAACCAGCAGATGGAAGACCTCTCTCTCTGTGTAACTCTGACTTTCAAATAGATAAATAATTATTTTTTAAAAAAGTGGAGCTGGGAATTGAACCAGGCACCCTGATGTGGGATGTGTGATGTGGGTACCCCAGCCAGCGGCTCCACTGCTGGGCCAAATACTCAGCCCAGTGCATGGGTCTTGAAGTGGGCTCACTGCTTCCCAAAGCTCTGTGCCTTGGCACGGCCCCACCCCCGAGCCTCAGTTTCCCTGTCTGATAAACAGGTATAGCAGGATCCCCTAACAGGGCTGCAGGAAGCCTGGAGCTCTCTGAGCTGGTCTCAGGAAAGGGGCCGTGCGCCGGAGCCCATCGGAGGGAGATGCCTTTCTCTACAAAGGCGCCCTCTTTGCTTTCTCTACCGAGACAAAGAAGAAACACAAGTAGGAAATCCAGTCTTGGCGCCATTCCCCGTGCCAGCGGCCGGGCTCGGAAGATTTTCCCAGAAGGAAAACCAGCAGTGGCAGCTCAGGTTGAGCATGTCCGCCTGTTTGTAGTGGCAGCGGAGCGGCCGAGCGTCCCGCCTCCTGCCCCCCTGGGCTGTGATATCAGAGATGGACACGACCACCTCGCTCATTCAGTCAACAAACACCAAGTGGGTCCCTATGGGGACTGGGAGGGCCCAGGGACCTGGAGCGTTTCCTATAAAGGGGAACGAGTATGAAGAAGGTGACGGTGACCAGGTCTACATCCATGAGGGCGCTTCCACCCCAGTGCTGGCTGCACCAGGTATTCAGTAGGTGCTCCATGTGTGCCCGAAGAAGCCGACGAATAAAGCACACCACTCATGTTGTCTTAGGGAAGAGTGGGTCCCGGTCTCACAGTGGCTCCTGCTGAGGTGGGAACACTGAGGCTGACCGTAGACACAGGAGACTGGACTTTGCCTTGACCACGTCACACGGTCCCCACCCCTGCAGGGCTGCTGGCCAGGCTCTGCGTGGCGGCCGCACCCACACACACTCTCTCTCTCGGCCTCACCAGCCAGGCTCCACCCAGCACCCTACCCAGTACCACCGCCTCCCAGGGTCATGCCCCAGACACTCCCACCCTGCTGGCTCCTGGTACAGCCATCAGCACAGCTCTCCCTCCCTGTTTGTCACTTGAACCTGACCTCCCCCAGAGCCTGACCACTGCACTCACGGCCCTCAGCTCTCTTGAGCCCACTGGGAACAGGTCCGTTGTCGCTCCCCCTCTTCGTGGAGGAACGACACAGGACCCTGCGCTGTTCTTTTGTCTGCTCGGCCCTCCCCGGGTTTGCTGCTGGTTCTTCCCGGGTTGGCTACCGACCCTTCCACCTCCGTGGAGGGGCGGGACCCCCTGCCACTTTCCCCACTTCCGCGGGGGAGCAGCACACCGCCGGCAGGCTCTCTCGGGGGCTGCTCAGGTGTTCCTTCAGATGTTCCTGGTGCATGTTGTCTCTCTCCTCCTTTTATAGTCCTCTTCCACCAATCCCAACTCTGCTACCCACACGCCGAGCACGCTGCTCTCCTCCAATCAGGAGCGGGATCAGCTCCTGCAGGTTACTGGTTGAACTGGAGGCAGCTGTGTAAAAGCTGTTTACTCCTCTCCCAGCGCCATATTGTGGGAGAGCAGATGCATAGAATAAGTCTTAATTCCAGTAACTTAGTCTAGTCCCAGTTGCTCCCCACAGTCCGTGGCCTGCTGGTCATAGCTTCAGGGTTGTCCTCCTGGCCCTGCTGTTCTGAGACTGGGGACCGCTGGAGTCCCCAGGCAGCGCCTTCGCCCAGGCCTGGGGAGAACCCGCCCCCTGGTGGCCAGGAGCTGCCCAGCACCTTGGGTGCCTGCAGAGAGAGAATTCGCCTTGGTCATGATTGTTTTAAAAGAAAATCCATTTCTAAAAAGCTGACCAGGTGCATCTCCCAGGGGATCCCACGCCCTTGGAGAAAGCCGTGTTGGATTTTGCAAAGTCAGAGGCACTCTGGATTCTCTTAGCACTGCTGAGTGGGGGAGGGGTGCCTGAAAATGGTGGCTTCAGTGATTGGCAGCTCTGCAAGGCTCTCCCTGGGCACAGTTTCTGTACGTGTGCAACCTGCCTTCTTCCACTCTTTAAATGGATCTAACAGCCCTGTCAGGGCGAATATCGGGCTACTTTGAGCAGGGGGCAGAAAAATGGAATTAAGTTTATTTTAGTCCAAAAAATTTTTTAAATCATGTATTTTCTATGAGCTTTTGGAAGACCCCCCCATATGCACAGGTTCCAAGTTTTTTTTTTTTTTAATATATATAAAAGCGCTAAATTTTATTCCAGGAATGACTCTGTTACCCTGAACTGGTAATTTAAGATTTCCATCAGCAGCAAGACTGCTTGCTCAGATATTAGGTCAGTCATAATCAAGTCTAAAAGTTGGATTTCAAAAGTTTCTGCGCCAAAATAAGGTTATCTTTTCTTAAGGAAAATATTTATTTATTTATTTGAAATGTAATTGCAGAGAAAGAGTGAGTAAGTGAGAGAGAGAGAGAGAGAGAGAGAGAGAGAATCTTCCATCCACCAGTTCATTCTGCAAATGTCTGCAACAGCTGAGACTGGGCCAGGCCAAAGCCAGGAGCCTGGAACTCCCATGGGGGTGGCTGGAGCCCAAGCCCTTGGGCCGTCTTTTGCTGCTTTCCCAGGCGCATTAGTGGGGGAGCTGGATCGGAAGCAGGGTGGTGAGGATTTGAACTGGCGCTCCGATACGGGATGCCAGAGTTGCAGGTGGCGGCTGTGCCACGATGCTGGCCCCTAACCTCGTCTTTGAGTTCCGTTTTCCGTGCATGTTTGGAGTCTCCTCGTGAGCACGTCATCTACTAAATGGACTGTAAACGCAGCGCGCCCGTGCTCGCATTCCTCAGCTTTCAGCCCGCACGGTGTTTATTTGTAGTGGGAGCAGAGCTCTGAGTGTCTGCCATGAACTCATTTACAAGCATTTTTGTCCCTGTTATGTAATGCCCTGGATCGGGTGCTGGCTGTTTGGGTGTTACTGGGGGCAGGGGGTGGTTGTGGAGGAGGAGGAAGAAGACTGGAAAAAGACCTGAACCTCCCCGGGAGCCTCTCTCCGGTTCAGACGCAACATACACAGATGACACAACCAGCAAACAATTGCAAAACAGAAAGAGAGTGTAACGAAACAGCCATGTGCTGAGAGCTGCAAGCAGCGTGGGCGGCCGCGGATGGCAGCAAACCGGGTTTGCCAGGAGTCTGGAGGGTCGCCAGGCCCACCGTCTAGGGGCTGGGGGTGGGGTGGGGAATGTCGAGGAAGGGGCCAGCATCCGCACCTCCTTGCGGGTACAGCCAGCGTGCCTCCTGCGGCGCTGAGACACGTCTGGCAATGACCCTCATGGTGGCAGAGACCCCACTTCTTGTTGCTACCGTGTGGCTGCCACACACCATCACATACAAGCCACGTCCAGGTCCCCCACCTCCCCCGGCCCACTGATGCCTCTACCTGCCCAGACCTATGTCTTCACCAGGAACTGTTAGGGCATCCCCCACTGGCACAGCCCTGTCTAGGTTCTGCTGGGTAAGCCCTTGTCCTGCCTCTGCCTTTGTCCCCGAAGGGAGAAAGCTGAGCCCTTGGGTCCCTGCAGCCTTGAGGGCTCCGAGTGCTGGAAGCCAGGCGCGCCGTGCAGAGAACGCGGGTGGCTGGTGCAGTTCTTGCCTGCACAGGCTCTGGCCAACTCCAGGGGGCAGCTGTCCACTCGGGATGTGCTGTCCTGCAGGGTTGTTCGTCCTGGTCACTGGGCTGGTTACCGAATGTAGCACCCAAAGCCGGGGGTGTGGGGTGGGGAGGGCTTGAGGGCAGGAGCCGGTTGCTTGGGACAACGAGCGAGGTTCAGAGGGAGGTCCAAGCGGGCCTGTCCATTGCTGGTAATTTTTCAAAAGACAAACAGAACGCAAGCGCATTTATTCACAACGGGGTAATGCGATTGCCACACAATCTGGAAATGTTCCGGGATCAGAGAGTTGCTGAGTGAGGGAGAAACGCAGCTGAAGACAACCAGGTGAGTAAAATACCTAGAGAGTTCAGGTTCCAGCTCCCGGGAGCCGCTGTCAGCCGGCTCGCGGCCCCAGGGAGGGCTTCTGCTCTCGGCGCCGTCCTCAGCCTTTGGACTTGAACCTGGCTGTGCGCCGGATGGCCCAGCTACACTCTGTCGTGTGGGCTCGGTGCAGAACCACTGAGCTCCTGGGGCTCGGGCTGGGGCAGCAGGGGCATCCTTTGGATGCTTTGTCTCCCAGGTAAGAGAACCCCGAGCCACAGACGTGCTCAGTGGCGACAGTCCCTGTGTCGCTTGACGGGCAGTGAAGGCGGGCCCCAGGAGCAGCTCCTCAGTGAGGGCTGCGGACCCCAGATCCTGTGTCCATCTGTCCACCCCTTCCCCTTGCTGGGTGTGTGTGTGTGTGTGTGTGTGTGCATGCCCTTCTTTTGAAAAAAAAAAAAGTTGACTTATTTATTGATAATTACTTGAAAGGCAGAAAGAGAGGGAGGGAGAGAGAGAGAGATCTTCCATTTGCTGGTTCACTCCTCTCCAAATGCCTGCATCAGCCAGGGCTGGGCCGGGCCCAAAGCCAGGAGCCCAGAACTCCATCCAGGTCTCCCACGTCGGTGGCAGGGGCCCAAGGACTTGCGCCATCACCTGCTGTTTTCCGGAGTGTGCATTAGCAGGGAGCTGGATTAGAAGCAGAGCAGGAGGCCGGCACCGCAGCTCACTAGGCTAATCCTCCACCTAGCAGCACCGGCACACCGGGTTCTAGTCCCGGTCAGGGTGCCGGATTCTGTCCCGGTTGCCCCTCTTCCAGGCCAGCTCTCTGCTGTGGCCCGGGAGTACAGTGGAGGATGGTCCAGGTGCTTGCACCCGTTTGTCACTAACCAGGTCCCGGGCCCCTCTCCCTCCCCTGTCTCTTCTAGGGACAGGAAGAGCTCACTTTCCCAGCCTGCCTTGCAGCTAGGAGCAGCCCTGGGACGCGGCCGCGACCAGGGAGATCTAAGGGGACTCTGGGGAAGCTCTGGGTGCCCTAAAGCATCAGGTGTTCTTTCCTCCTGCTCTGTGCGGACAGGTCCCTTGGCACCACGTGACAAAGGCCAGGAGAGTCACAGAGACGCCATCTCACGTGATCCCAGCCACCGACCACGCAGGAACTTGCTCTGACATCACTGAATACCTCTACACCGTGGACGGTGGCTTTCTCCTGGGAGGGAGAAGACTTCTCCCAGGAGTAGCCCTACCCCTGCCCTGGACTTCTCCCCAGGATACGCATGAGATGGGTCCCTGCCCTGGACTTCTCCCCAGGATACGCATGAGATGGGTCCCGAACCCTTTCCTCATTCCCTCACTCTCCAGGGGCAAAGGAGCACCTGTAGGCCAATTACTCAGCTAGACACCTGCTCGGCAACACAGGCAGGTGTTGGTCTGTGCCGGGGGCTGAGGCACCTGTTTTGGTTCCCATGGATTAGTGTTTTTCCGGGGGTTCCCAAATCACCCCTTCCTTCTTGCTCAACCTCACGTCCAATGTTTGCTGTTTCTCTGTGTGTGTTTGTGTGTGTTAAAGACTTATTTATTTTAAAGACAGAGTGACAGAGAGAGGGAGATCTCCCACCTGTTGGTTCACGCCCCAAATGGCTACAATAGACAGGATTGGGCCAAGCTGAAGCTAGGGGGGCCAGGAACTGCATCTGGGTCTTCCGTGTGGGTGGCAGGGGCCTGCGTACTTGGGTCATCTGCCGCTGCTTTCCCAGGCGCGTTGGCGGGGGCTGGACTAAAGCAGCGAGCCCGGGACTTGCACAGACACTGTGATATGGGGTGCGGGTAGCTCAGCTCCCCGCGCCGTGGCCCAGCCTCAGGCCGGTGTTGCAGCTCCTATTTTCTCCTTTCAGAAACTGGAATGGCCTTTAATAGTCTTGTCTTCTGCTCTCTCTCTTTTTAAAGATTTATTTGAAAGTCAGAGTTACACAAAGAGAGAAGGAGAGGCAGAGAGAGAGCGAGAGAGAGAGAGGAGAGGTCTTCCATCCACTGGTTCACTCCCCAGTTGGCTGCAATGACCGGAGCTGCACCGATCCGAGGCCAGGAGCCAGGAGCTTCCTCCGGGTCTCCCACGTGCGTGCAGGGGCCCAAGGACTTTGGCCATCCTCTACTGCTTTCCTAGGCCACAGCAGGGAGCTGGATTGGAAGTGGAGCAGCCGGGACTTGAACCGGTGCCCATATGGGATGCCAGCACTGCAGGTGGCAGCTTTACCCACTATGCCACAGCACCGGCCCCATCACTCTCTCTTTTTTATGATTTGTTTGTTTGACAGGCAGAATGACAGGGGGAGAGAGAGAGAGAAATCTTCCATCTGCTTGTTCACTCCCCAAATGGTCACAACAACCAGGACCAGGCCAGGCCAATGCCAGGAGCCTGGAACTCCATCCCGGACTCCCACATGGGTGGCAGGGCCCCAGTCACTCAGGCCATCTTCTGCTGCTTTCCCAGGAGCACTAGCAGGGAGCTGGATCAGAAGTGGAGCAGCCAGGACTCAAACCCACACCCATGTGGGATGCCTGCACTGCAGGTGGCAGCTTTACCTGCTACACCACAGTGCGGTCCCCACCCTAGTATTTTTTTTTTTTTTTTTTGACAGGCAGAGTGGACAGTGAGAGAGAGAGACAGAGAGAAAGGTCTTCCTTTGCTGTTGGTTCACCCTCCAATGGCCGCCACCGCCGGCGCGCTGCGGCCGGCGCACCGCGCTGATCCGATGGCAGGAGCCAGGTACTTATCCTGGTCTCCCATGGGGTGCAGGGCCCAAGTACTTGGGCCATCCTCCATTGCACTCCCGGGCCACAGCAGAGAGCTGGCCTGGAAGAGGGGCAACCGGGACAGAATCCGGCGCCCTGACCGGGACTAGAACCCGGTGTGCCGGCGCCACAAGGCGGAGGATTAGCCTAGTGAGCCGCGGCGCCGGCCCCCCACCCTAGTATTCTGACAGCTGCTTATGTCCCCCACCATACAAGGTAACAGAAGCCCATGAAGGAAGAGGCAGGGGCTCCAGCTAGGCAGGAAGATACAGCAGGAGCAGCAGCCACCAGCCCAGGACCTCAAGTGTGCTTGGCTCTCACGCCTCCCAGGAAGCGGTGCTAACCATCTCCGTGTCTTTATGTACTTCGCTTCTCACGTTTCCTTTTAGAGCGGGGCTCTGATCGTTAACATTTTCTAGAGGCTTCAGCAAAACAGTCCTATGGAATCCTTGTGAACGTGCCCAAAGGTGCCACGCACCAACAGCCCCAGCACCAGGAGCCTGTTTTGTAGGGCATCCGCGTGAACAGGTGCAGGGACAAGGCTGCTCCCTGTGGTAGCTTGTATGGTGGAGGGCGGGGCTTCAGACAATTTCCTAAAAATGTGTATTATTGGGGCCTGCACTGTGGCATGGCAAGTTAGGCCTCTGCCTGTGACACTAGCATCCCATATGGGCACCAGTTCAAGACCCGGCTGCTCCACTTCCAATCCAGCTCCCTGTTAGTGCACCTGGGAAAGCAGTGGAAGATGGCCCCAGTGCTTGGGCCCCTCCACCCACATAGGAGACTCGGAAGAAGCTCCTGGATCCTGGCTTTGGCCTGGCCCAGCCCCAGCTGTTGCAGCCATTTGGGTAGTGAGCCAGTGGATGGAAGACCTCTCTCTTCTCTCCCTCTGTCTCTCTCTCTCTGTAACTTTGTCTTTCAAATAAATAAATCTTTTTTAAAAAATGTGTATTATCAAAAATTATGCATAGATTCCAAAATCTTATTTTTGCAGCAAAATGAACTTTATTTATTTATTTGAGAAGGACACAGACACATGGGGAGAGAGGGAGAGGGAGAGAGATTCCATTCACTGGTTCACGCCCCAAATATCTGCAAGGGCCAGGGCTGGCCCAGGCTGATGCTGGGAGCTGAGGACTCCATCCAAGTCTCCCACGCGGGTGGCAGAGACCCAAGTACTTGAGCCATCATCTGTTGCCTCCAAGGAACTGTGTTTGCAAGAAGCTGGAATCAGGAGCAGAACTGGGAGTCCCAAGTGGGATGAGAGTGTCCCAGACAGTCTTATTCTCTGGGCATTTGTGTCTTCCTGTCTCCAGCATCTCACACCCTCATTAAAAACCTGTGCACTCTGGGGCCGGCGCCATGGCTTACTTGGTTAATCCTCCGCCTGCGGTGGCGCCCGCATCCCATATGGGCACTGGGTTCTAGTCCCGGTTGCTCCTCTTCCAGTCCAGCTCTCTGCTGTGGCCCGGGAGAACCAATGGAAGGAAGACCTTTCTCTCTGTCTCTCTCTCTCACTGTCTAACTCTATCTGTCAAATTAAAAAAAAAAAAAAAAGCCTGTGCACTCATTCATAATATAAAATAAAGCAGCAAGTGATGGACCTGTTTCAGCTGGGCTCCTGCCAGTGCAGAGACTGCCCAGAGAGCAGGAGACAAGGCCAGGCTGGGAGGTGACAGGAAGGCGGGGATCCCTGCACAAGCATCGCCACGACACGGATGCCGGCAAGCAGGGAAGGCGTCCCGGGGGCGGAGGGAGAACAGAGGACCTGGGAGACGAATGTCCTGTGTCCTGTGCTGATGGGAGAGCCCTCCGCAGTCCCTGTGGCCCCAGCACAGCTCCCTTTGGAGCTGAAGCTCATCAAAGTGCAAGAGGGCTGGACCCATGTCTAGCACGGATGAGACTGGCCGGTGTGATGAGAAGACGGAATTGTGGGCGTGTTTGGTACCTGTCCTGGGGTTTTGTTCTTTTCTGAAGATTTATTTATTTATTCGAAAGGCTGAGTGATAGAGATAGAGGGAGACACACACACACACACACAGAGAGAGAGAGAGAGAGAGAGAGAGAGAGAGAGATCTTCCAGCTGCTGGTTCACTGCCCAAATGGCTGTAACAAAGTTAAGTTTAGGGCCGGCGCCGCGGCTCACTAGGCTAATCCTCCGCCTAGCGGCGCTGGCACACCGGGTTCTAGTCCCGGTCGGGGCGCCGGATTCTGTCCCGGTTGCCCTTCTTCCAGGCCAGCCCTCTGCTGTGGCCAGGGAGTGCAGTGGAGGATGGCCCAGGTGCTTGGGCCCTGCACCCCATGGGAGACCAGGAAAAGCACCTGGCTCCTGGCTCCTGCCATCGGATCAGCGTGGTGCGCCGGCAGCAGCGCGCCGACCGCGGCGGCCATTGGAGGGTGAACCAGCGGCAAAGGAAGACCTTTCTCTCTGTCTCTCTCTTTCACTGTCCACTCTGCCTGTCAAAAAAAAAAAAAAAAAATGTAAAACAAAGTTAAGTTTAGGGACTGGCATTGTAGCAGGGTGGTTTAAGCCACCGCCTGCAGTGTCAGCATCTCATATGAGAGCTGGTCCCTGTCCCCTGCTCCACTTCCAATCCAGCTCCCTGCTGATGCACCTGGGGAGGCAGCAGAAGACGGCCCAGGTGCTTGGGCCCCTGCCACCCACGTGGGAGCCTGGATGGAGTTCCCGGATCCAGGCTTCAGTCTGGCCCATCCCTGGCTGTTGCAGCCTTTTTTTGGGAAGGGAACCAGCAGACGGAACATCTCTATCTCTGTCTCTTCCACCCTCTTTGTCACTCTGCCTCTCAAGTACAAATTTTGAAATCTAGGCTGGCGCCGCGGCTCACTAGGCTAATCCTCCACCTGCGGCGCCGGCACACCGGGTTCTAGTCCCGGTTGGGGCGCCGGATTCTGTCCCAGTTGCCCCTCTTCCAGGCCAGCTCTCTGCTGTGGCCCGGGAGTGCAGTGGAGGATGGCCCAAGTGCTTGGGCCCTGCACCCCATGGGAGACCAGGGGAAGCACCTGGCTCCTGCCATCGGATCAGCGCAGCGCGCCGGCGGTGGCAGCCATTGGAGGGTGAACCAACGGCAAAGGAAGACCTTTCTCTCTCTCTCTCTCACTCACTGTCCACTCTGCCTGTCAAAAAAAATTTTTTTTGAAATCTATGCAGTTTTCTTTTTTCATAGTGCACATTTTTGTGAACTTTTTGAAGATGCCTGGGACTCTGCATTTCAGACAGTTAAGCAATGGAGAATTAGAGGGTCTTGCCTGCACGCTGAGTTACTAGAAAAAAATAATTTCTGAGAATGTTCATTGCAGGGCAGTTGGTGTTAGTGAAAAGCTGTCCCCACTAGAAGACTGATGAAAGGAATGATGCTGGGCGGGGCATTTGGCCAAGTGGTTGAGACGGTGGAGAAGGTGCTCATATCCAAAATCGCAGTGCCTGGGGGCCATACTGGGCTCTGGCTCCTGGCTACAGCTTCCTGCTGGTGCAGACCACCGGAGGCAGAGGTGGGGGCTGCCGTGGTCGGACCCCCGACACCCACGCTGGAGACCCCGACTGAGTCTCTGTCTCCCGACTTGGGCCCTGCTCCAGTTCTGGCTGTTGCAGGCATTGGAGAAATAAACCACTGGCTGGGGCTCTCTCTCTCTCAAATAAAAATGAAACCACAGGTAATTTTAAAAATGAGAAAAGAGAGAGATGGTGTATAAAATGGTGCAGAGAAAGAGAGAGACACAGAGAGAGACAGAGAGAGAGAAAGATCTTCCATCTGCTGCTTCACTCCCCTAAATGAGCACAATGACCAGGGTGGGGCCAGGTCAAAGCCAGGAGCCAGGCGCTCCATCCGGGTCTCCCACGTGGGTGCAGGGGTCCAAGAAACGGGGCCGTCTGCTGTTGCTTTCCCAGGTGCATTAGCAGGGAGCTGGAACAGAAGTGGAGCAGCTGGATCTTAGGACTCAAACCGTTACTCATACGGGGTGCCAACATCACCAGTGGCAGCTCCGCCCACTGCGTCACGATGGCAGCCCTTCCTTAAGTGTGGGACACAGGCTGCCACGCCCAGCCTCTTCCTCCCTGGCACACACTTCAGGCAGAAAACGTCACCGATGCTGTCTCCCAAATTTCCACTCCATCTGGATTCAAACCCAGCTGGGCAAACAGCCTTTCGTCTCCCTTCCACAGGCATCGTATGAGTCAGCCGGCAGCCGAGGATTGTGACGGTGATGGCAGGACACAGTGGTCAGCTCCGTGGTTCAGCTCCAGCTTGGCCGTTGCCCTTCTAGGTGATGCTGGGCAAAGCGCTTGAGCCCTGCGGTTCCAATGACCTCGTCCGTAACATGAGGAGGACAGCGGGGTGGCTGTGAGCCCTGAGTGAGCTCACGAACCCGACATGCGTAGCTTGCCTGGTCCGGTGCTGGCGGCCCTCAGTCACAGGTGCCCACGGAGCACTTGGAATGTGAGTTCTTCAAATTGAGACGTAAGTGTGGTTTCACATAGGATTTTGAAGGTTTAATACAAAACCAGGTAAAATAACTCACTGTTAATTTCTTAGAGTGATGACGTGTTGAAATGATGATATTTTGCATCTATTGGGTTATATAAAATATGCATTCCAAATGGGCACTGATTTGAGTCTCGGATGCTCTACTTCCAATCCAGATCTCATCTAAGGCCTGGGAAAGCAGTGGAAGATGGCCCAAGTCCTTGGGCCCCTGCACCCACATGGGAGACCCAGAAGAAGCTCCTGGCTCCTGGCTTCCGATTGGTGCAGCTCCAGCCATTGCAACCATTTGAGGAGTGAACCATCAGATGGAAGACCTCTCTCTCTCTCTCTCTCTCTCTCTCTCTCTCTCTGCCTCTTGTAACTTTGCCTTTCAAACAAATAAATACATCTTTAAAAAAGAGAGAGAGATAATTTCAGGGGTGGGTGTTCTGTGCAACCGTTGAGACACCACTTGGGACATCTGCACCCCAGATCGGAGCCTGGTTTGAGCCCTGGTTCTCCTTCCCATCCCAGCTGTCAGCTAACATGCACTCTGGGAGGCACAAGGCGCTGGCTCTAGTGGCTGAGTCCCTGCCGGCATGTGGGAGGTTGGATTGAGTTCCAGGCTCCTGGTTTAACCTGGCCAAGCTATGGCTGCTATGAGCAGGTAGGGAAATAAACCAGAAGGTCTTGTCTCTGCCATTGATATAAAGTGAAAATGGATAAAAATGTAAAAACATACAAGATAAAAGTTGACATGTGGGCATTTGTCCTAGTCGTTCAGGTACCACGGAGCTGCCTGCGTCCCATATTACAGCGCCTGGATTTGGGCACCAGTTCTGCTCCTGCTTCCTGCTTGTTGCTAACGCAATCCCTGGCTGTTGGCTCAATTTCTTGGGGCCCACCACCCACACGGGAAATCCAGGACGAATCCCCAGCTCCTGTCTTTGCCCTCAGCCCAGCCCCCACCATCATGGAATTAGGAGTTATAAACAAAATAAATAAATTTATAACAAGACAATGTTGGGGACCGATGTTGTGGCATAGTGGGTAAAGCTGCTGCCTGCAGTACCAGCACCCCACATGGGTACCGGTTCAAGTCCTGGCCGCTCCACTTCCGATCCAACTTCCTGCTAATGGCCTGGGAAAGCAATGGAAGAGGGCCCAAGTCCTCGGGCCCCAGAAGAAGCTTCTGTCTCCTGGCTTGGGATCGGCTCAGCTCTGGCCATTGCGGCTATTTGGAGAGTGAACCAGCGGATAGAAGACCTCTCTCTGTTTCTCTCTCTCATCTCTCTCTCTGCCTCTGCCTTTCCATCTCTGTAACTTTCAAATACGTAAATACACGTTTAAAAAAAATGAAAAAAGAAACTAGGTTCTAAAAAAAAACAAAAAAGTGTATTTTTAAAAAATGGTAACTGTTTTTGTATCAGAGAAAATTAAATTCCATATATTTTTGGTAATATTCATTTTCTGTGAATTTTGTAAAGACTTCTTGAATTATTATAGCTAATTCCCTGTAGGGTTTGTATTAGCTTTTTAAAGCACAGCTACTGGACAGCTTGAAACTCCATCTGTGGCTTGCACCCTGGGCTTATTGGACAGCGGCTGCCTGGAGCGAGGCCTGGCATGGGGCGACGGCCGAGACCGGCAGCTGCCATCGGTGTGGAGCCCCTGGCGTGCGGTGAGCCCTTGGCAAAGGGCAGCCCTGGGTCCTGAGGTCTCCTGGCCACTCCCCTCCACTCCCTACAGGCCTGGTTCACTGTACTCGCCCACGAGAGCCCTTGCTCTTGCCCTTCCCCTCCCTGTCCCCGGAGACCTCTGGCACTTCCCCACTGTACCCCGACAGATGCAGTATGGGCCCCGGCTGTCCCCTCAGCCTGGCAGGTGCTGGCGAGGAGACCCCAGCCCCAGCGGGGCGTGAGGTCCCATCCACTGCTCAGGAGTCTGCCGTGTGCACCCCAGGCTGCAAGTCGTCCATGCGTCAGGTGGTGGAGGGGGGGCAGTTTTGTCCAGGAAAACGTCTCGCCAGCTACTTGGGTAGAAGAAGGGCAGGGGCCAAGGGCCTGGGGAGGGGAGATGGTTGAACACACAGGAACTGAACAGTTTCACAGAACTGTTCAGGGCAGCCAGAACGGGAACTCGGGGACCCCCAAAGAGAGGAGAAGGCGGGAGAAGATGGTAGAGGTGAAGGCTGGGAAGACCAACGGGCAGGGCCTGAGCCTCGGTGGGGCTGGGGGCCAGGAGAAAACCCGTGGTAATGGCGGGGCCTGGGATGGCTGTTTTATTGTAATAAAACACACATGAGCCAGCGCCGCGGCTCACTAGGCTAATCCTCCGCCTTGCGGCGCCGGCACACCGGGTTCTAGTCCCGGTCAGGGCGCAGGATTCTGTCCCGGTTGCCCCTCTTCCAGGCCAGCTCTCTGCTGTGGCCAGGGAGTGCAGTGGAGGATGGCCCAGGTGCTTGGACCCTGCACCCCATGGGAGACCAGGAGAAGCACCTGGCTCCTGCCTTTGGATCAGCGCGGTGCACCGGCCGCAGCGCGCCAGCCATTGGAGGGTGAACCAACAGCAAAAGGAAGACTTTTCTCTCTGTCTCTCTCTCTCACTGTCCACTCTGCCTGTCAAAAAAAAAAAAAAAAGAAAAGAAAGAAAAAACCCACATGAAATTTACTGTCTGCATCATTTTTAAATGTTTATGTTCATCTACTTGAAAAGCAGGAAGAGAGAGAGAGAGTGTCTTCCATCCATTGGTCCACTCCCCAGAGGCCAGACATGAGCTTGAAGTCAGGAGCCTGGAGCTCCATCAGGAGCTGGATCAAAGCAGAGCCAGGACTGCACCAGGCGTCCTTAGCGGCAGCTTAACCCACACAGTCCGACGGTGTTAAGCGCAGCCGTCACCACCATCCACCCCCAGACACCATCTTCCTGGCTTCTCAAACCAAAGCTGTCCGCATCAAAGGCTGGCTCCCCCTCGCCCCCTGCCCAGCCCCTGGCCACCCCGTCCCGGCACTTCTCAGAAGTGGAAGCCTCCAGCGTTTGTCCTTCCTTGCCCGGCCTGTTTTGCTGAATCGGATGCCCGCAAGGTTTGTCCGTGTTGTAGCAGGTGTCGGGATTTCCTTCCTGTCTGAGACAAGGAGGTCTCATTGTATGTGCCGTTGTGGTTTGGCTGTTGGGCGCTGCGCTGCTAAGAGCATAGAACAAAAGCCTTTTCAGGGCCCTGCTTCTGGGTCATTTAGGTACCCTGGAAGAGGCGTGTCTGCGTTGGAGGTAGCTCTGTTTTGGATTTTGTGAGCAGCTTCCAGATTTTTCCACGGGACCATGTTACTTTTCCTGCCAGCAGTGCACAGGGTTCCAGTTTCTCCACATCCTTCCCAACCCTGATTTTCTGTTTATTTTGTTCTGTGGCTTAGCCAAGGTTCTCCAAAGAAACAGACTCAGTAGGCTCTCCATAGTGTGCGGGCGGTGATGGTGGTGATGGTGGTGGTGGTGGTGGTGGTGGTGGAGAGAATGGGGCTTTATTATAAAGAATTATAAAAGGGAGGTGTTTGGGGGCCAGCACGGTGGCATAGTGTATAAAGCTGTTGCCTACAGTGCCACCATCCCATATGGGCACCAGTTCGAGTCCCAGCTGCTCCACTTCTGATCCAGCTCTCTTCTATGGCCTGAGAAAACAGTGGAAGATGGCTCAAGGGCTTGGGCTCTTGCACCCAAGTGGGAGACTCAGAAGAGGCTTCTGGCTCCTGGCTTCAGATTGGCCCAGCTCTGACCATTGCAGCCAACTGGGGAGTGAACCAGTGGATAGAAGACCTCTCTCTCTCTCTCATTCTGCCTCTGCCTTTCAAATAAACAAATAAATAAATCTTTGGGGCCGGCGCTGTGGCAAAGTGGCTTAACACCCGGCCTGAAGCGCTGGCATCCCATATGGGCACAGGTTCGAGACCTGGCTGCTCTGCTTCCAATCCAGCTCTCTGCTGTGGCCTGGGAAAGCAGTAGAAGATGGCCCAAGTGCTTGGGCCCCTGCACCTGTGTGGGAGACCTTCAGGAAGCTCCTGGCTCCTGGCTTTGGGTTAGCGCAGCTCTGACCATTGTAGCCAACTGGGGAATGAATCAGCAGATGGAAGACCTCTCTCTCTCTCTTGCTCTTGCTCTCTCTCTCTTTGCCTCTCCTCTCTCTGTGTAACTCTGACTTTCAAATAAATAAATAAATCTTTTAAAAATAAATCTTAAGAAAAAAATCAAGGGGAGGTGTTTGGTGCAGAAGGCTTCACCTGGGATGCCGCACCCCTATCAGCGCCCCTGGTTCTGAGTCTGGGCTCCGTTCTTATTCCCCGCTTCCTGCTGAGGTGCACCCTGGGAGGAGCAGGGCATGGCTGCAGGGGCTGGGTGCCTGCCACCCACTGGGGAGACCTGGCTGATAAGGGCATCTGGGGGAACGAACCAGTGGATAGACCATCTCTCTCACTCTCTGTCTCTCAAATTAGAAAGAAAGAAAATTTTAAAAAGATGTGAGGTATGGCACTGGCTTAACAATTATGTTACAAAGAACAGCAGCAAAGAGACCCGGAGGAAGCTCCTGGCTCCTGGCTTTGGAGTGGTGCAGCTCTGTCTGTTGCAGTCATCTGGGGAGTGAACCAGCAGATGGAGGACCCCCCCCCCCTCTGCCTCTGGCTCTCTGTGCCTTTCAAATATATAAATAAATATTTTTTTAAAAAAAAAGAAGGAAAAAAGATATTTATTTATTTGTAAGGCACAGTTAGAGAGAAAGAGAGAGAGAGAGAGAGAGATCTTCCATCTGCTGATTTACTCCCCAGATGGCCACACCTACTGTGTCACAACGCCAGTCGCTCTTGTCTTCTTCTTCTTCTTCTTCTTCTTCTTCTTTTTTTTTTTTTTTTTTGACAGGCAGAGTGGAGAGTGAGAGAAAGAGAGAGACAGAGAGAAAGGTCTTCCTTTTCCATTGGTTCACCCCACAATGGCCGCCGCGGCCGGTGTGCTGCGGTCAGCGCATCACGCTGATCTGAAGGCAGGAACCAGGTGCTTCTCCTGGTCTCCCATGGGGTGCAGGGCCCAAGCACTTGGGCCATCCTCCACTGCACTCCTGGGCCACAGCAGAGAGCTGGCCTGGAAGAGGGGCAACCGGGACAGAATCCGGTGCCGGCGCCGCAGGCGGAGGATTTGCTCTTGTCTTCTAACATTAAAAAATATCTATTTTTAAAATTTGTGAGTGTGTGTGTATGTGTGTGTGTGAGAGAGAGAGAGAGAGAGAGAGAGAGAGAGAGAGAATGTTCCTACCTGTCCCCAGATGCCCACAGTGGCCGGGCTAAGCCAGGTAGAAGCAGGGAGCCAGGCACCCAGTCCAGGTCTCTCGCATGGGTGGAGCCGGGGACGGAGCCCAGCCACTCTTTGGTGAGGGATGTGGGTATCTAAAGCTGCATCTTAACTATTGGCCAAACGCCTGCCCCTGACACTTGTTTTGTCTCTATTTCTGGACTCCTTGATTTGTCAAAAGTCATCAATGAGTGGACAGAAATGAGTATTCATAAAGGAGAAATGGTTAGGGGGTCATGGATCATCATTCAGTGAACTCCCATGGGGCTGGTGCTGTGGCCTAGTGTGACACCAGGATCCCTAGTGTGACACCAGGATTCCTAGTGTGACACCAGGTACCAGTTCAAGTCCCGGCTGCTCTACTTCCGATCCAGCTCCCTGCTAGTGTGCCTGGGAAAGCAGCCGAAGATGGCCCAAGTGCTTGGGCCTCTGCACTCACATGGGGGACCCGGAAGAAGCTCCTGGCTTCAGCCTGGCCCAGCTCCGGCTGTTGTGGCCATCTGGGGAGTGAGCCAGCAGATGGAAGCTGTCTCTCTGTGTCTCTCCCTCTTTCTCTGTAATTGGCAAATCAATGAATCTTTAAAACAAGGGGAACACTCATTTAATCCCACGCAGCTTGGGCTGGGGCACGATGTTCCTGGCGTGGAGATCTGTGTGACATTTTGGGCGTGGTGTCAGGAGGGTCCCTTTTCATTCTCTCTCGAGCGGGACGCCCAGCCAGAAGGTGTGACTCCTGCCCTCTGGCTGTCTCTCAAGACCCTCCTGGTCATGCGGGATCCCTGGAGCTGCCGTGTGAATCCTGGGACAGTTTTCTTTGT